CCGGGCGGCGCTGAGGCGCGCGGCGGGGTGAGCGGGGGGCGCCGCGGCCGGAGGGGGGGACGGGCCGGGGACACACACGGGGGGGCACAGGCCCCTGGGCCGGCGCGTTGGGGTCCGCCGGGCTCGGTGTGCCGGGCTGGGGGTAGCGGAGGCCGCTAGGCCCAGTGTGTCGGGGTCTGGGGGAGGTGAGAGCTCGTGGGGAGAAGGCCTGGGACTGGGGGGCGGAGAGGAGGAGCAGGGGCTCGCTGGGCTGGGAGGCTCCGGGGTCCGAGGCAGGCTGGCGGAAGGGAGCCTGGGATAGCCCCGACCCCCGGCAGTTTTGGCTCCCCGCAGACGATGGCTTTGCCTCTTGCCCCCCAGACCTTGACAGGCTGCAGCATGTCGTCAGACTCCAGCAAGAAGAGGAAACCCAAAGTGATCCGCACGGATGGGGGCCCGCAGGAGGGCAAGCGGGGCAAGGCTGATGCCGACCAGGTAGGGCCCCTGGCTGCCTGCATGCACAGGCAGAGCCGGCAGGCTGTGCAGGGATACTTGTGTCCTGCCTTGCAAAAGGCTCATCTCCCACCTACTCTCTGCTAGCCTTATTCTCCCCTTTGGGAAGATGCAAGACCGTTCCCCCAGAGCCAAGCCAGCTCCCAGTGCCTCTGAAACTCCCACTCTGGATTTCAGAACGTACTTCCATCTCCATGGGGAAACACAGTGCTCAAAGGGTCAAACTCTTCTTTGCAGATGTAGGGAGAGTGAGCACAAGGCTGAAAGGTCTCTCGGGGGGTTGCAAGTCATCTTAAAACACTCTCACAAGCAGCAGGGTAATGGGTTCAGCCAAAGTGGGGATCGCCTTCCAAATTTATCCTCTGTAGTCACATAGATGGATGGGTGCAGGATGGATACTAGCTGAAATTTATGAACTATAAAGAGCTATTAAAAACTATATAAAATACAGTTTGAAGTTCCCAGGCATTTTAATACCTTGTGGCATTTGTGTTTGGGATTAACTAAATCCTCTCCTGTGTATGAAGTCTCCTTGGGTGTGGGATTAACATACAAAGCCAGGAATCAAGACCCAGCAGTTTGTTTTCCACTGCTGTTTCCAGAGAAGGTGGAAGGATCCAGCTGTAGAAGGTGCTTTCTGCCTTTGCAGGATGTTAGGTACTACAGTGAGGAGTGTGAGGTGGATCTCCGTGACCCTATCAAAGACTACGAACTTTACAGAGAGACTTGTCAGGAGCTTCAAAGACTGATGGCAGAAATCCAGGAGCTGAAGAGCAGAGGCATCAAGGACAATGTAAGGAAAAGCCTTGGTGTTTGATTTTATGTGGTCTGTTCTTTGGTGTTTTCCCTTAGTCTGAGAGGAAAGGGGGCAGCAGTTGCACTGTCTTCTGGGGAGAATCAGCAAAATGGAGCAGCCTCCCTTAAATAAAGTAAAATATGATTTAGCTGAGGCATTGGTCTTGACTGAGCAGATGGGATTCTTCTGAAGCATGTCTGGGCTCCTGCTGGGTTGTGCTGACAGGTCAGAGAAATTGAGCCCCTCCTGACTGCAGCGAGGGTGGCTGGGCCCTTGCTGTCCCAGGGAGGCCCAGCAGCCTCAGCCATGGCTGGGGAAGGCTTGTGCTGCGACTGCCTGTGCTGTTGCATAGCAGGGTTCTCTGTTCCTACTGGGAGAAAAGTCACTAGAGTGAGCCTGGAAAACATCCTCCCCCCACCAAGTTATTTCCTGTGCGTGACCTGTGTGTCTGGCAGCTGGAGGCTCCCTCGGAAGCCCCGATGACATTAATCGTGGCTCCTTAGTGAAGCACGGAGTCCCTCTTTGTGACAGAACTCGCAGGAATTCCATGCAGCAAAGGGGCTTTGTGTTGTCAGTCATCTCTTCTGCTTCAAACACCTCTCTCTTGCCATTCAGGCTTCGGAGATAGACGAGCGGCGGATTCAGAGCTGCGTCCACTTCATGACCTTGAAGAAGCTCAACCGGCTGGCTCATATTCGGCTGAAGAAAGGGAGAGATCAAACCCACGAGGTGCAGCAGGGCTGGGGGTGGCGAGGACCAGTCGGGATTTAGTGGGATTAGAGATGGTGACGTTTCTGCCCAGTCTGTGTATGGATGTGTGACAGGAATTAAACACCAGCCAGGTCATACTTTCTGAATTAGAGGTTTATCAGGAAACTACTGCCATGAAGTGGGAGCTGTAATTATAGTGAATGATGGTGTGGTGTCTGCTTCTGTCTCGGATACAGCGAGGAGTAGCTCTGTCTTGAGAGTCTGGTGTGCTGCAGGCCTGAGAAGTGTGTATGTGGTTGGCCCTGAAACTCCTTACCCAGACATCTCAGAGAAGCTTTTCACAGTTTCTAAATAACACTTGTTTTCTTTGTACCACTGAGGAAAGTGAGGCACAGGGACAGGAGGAGACTCTGTGTACCCCACAGGTCTGACCTGTTCTGTGCCTTGTCCCCAAAACATGGTGCCTCCAGAGCACAACCAGTTTAATACGATGAGCGTTTGCTTTCCCAGCTTTTGAAAATGTCTTTTTACCCCCAAAAAGTTGTTGCATACCCTAAAACCTGCCATCACTAGCTGGAACGGCGAGGGGGGTGTGTGTTGATGACTCTTACGGGCTGTCTCTTATACACA